AGTTTTTCACACCAGAGAAACTATTTGGCATTTACACATGTGTGACTTATTTATTTCACTTAGGAGTATATCCTCAATATGTATCCATTTTCCTATGAATGAATCTAATATCTCATTCTTTATGGCTGAATAGTATTCCATTTTATAGAAAAACCACATCTTCTTTATCCAGATTCCAACTGATGGGTAAATGGGCTATTTCCAAGTTTTAGCTATTATGCACAGTGCCACTATAAACATATATCACTGTGGTATGATTCCTTTAATTCTTTTGGAAAGACACCCAGCAGAGGGATGGCTGGGTCAAATGGAACCTCTAGTCCCAGCTCTGTGAGGTAACTCCATATTGATTTCCATAGTGGTCCCACCAGTCTGCACTCCCACCAACAATGGAGAAGAGTTCCTTTCTCCCCGCAACCCCACCAACATTTGTTATTGTTTGATTTCTTGATAGCAGCCATTCTTTGTGGAGTGAGGTGGAATCTCAGTGTTGTTTTCATCTGCATCTCTCGAATGACCAGTGATGTGGTTTTGGAAAAACTGGATTTCAACTTGCCAAAGATTAAAACTAGACCCCTATCTTTCATCATGCACTAAAGTAAAATCCAAGTGGATTAAAGATCTAAATATTAAAAAAGAGTCACTAAATTTGCTGGAAGATAAGTTAGGCAGAACTCTTGAAGACATTGACATAGGAAAAGGCTTTATGAACAAATCCTCAGTAGCACGGGAACTAGCAGAAAAAATCAACAACTGGGATCTCATCTTATTAAAATCTTCTGCACTGCAAAAGAAAACATCAACAGAACTAAAAGACAACCTACAATGTGGGAAAAAAATTTCTACCAGCTGCTCTTCACACAAAGGACTCTTATTTAGAATATATAAAGAACTCAGAACAATCAGTCCCCCCAAATATAAAGACCTGATTCAAAAATGGGCATCTGAAATGAATAGACATTTCTCAGACAAAGAAGTAAGAGCAGCAAGTGAATATATGAAAAAAAGTTCCAATATTACTGTTATTTAAAAGATGACATCGATATTCATTGTATTGCACTGTCAAAATCTTTCCCAGTCCTTCTTGGCCTAACATTTTCAACATGAAATCATCATTTTATTGTTCCTGACACAATCTGTAACTGCTTAGTGTTTTCCAAATATGCATAGGACTCTTCCACTTCAATGTGTTTTATATTGCTTTTATTTTTCTGCCTGCTTTTTCCACCCTCCCTTCATTCCTGATGTTTTTCTTTCCTTTTTAAGTCTCGGCCAGCCAGTTATGCATTTTTGCAATGCCATCTCTTCCCTAACCCATCCCATTGGGTGCTGTGGGCCATCTTCGCTACATGTGTGGCATTTGCATTGTTACCAGCTGGATTTAACTGTGAATCATGCAAACCTAGAATAAAAATAACTTAAACAAGAATGCAGTGTTACTCTCTGCTGTGAAAGCCCAGAGGGAGGCAGCTCTGGGCCAGTGCTTCAGCTGCGTTGCTGGGCTTCAGGGACCCAGGTACTTTTGGGCTTCCCTCCTTTCGTCCTAAGCCCTTCCCTTCAGGGTCAAGGATGCAGCTCCAGCCATCATATCAGTGTTGGAAATGGTGGAATGGAGAAGGGAAACAGTGGGCAGAGTGTGCCTGTTAGCAGTCTCCTAGGTAAGGAACTGTCACTCCTACATCCTATTGGAACTCAGTCCTGTGGTGACAGTAAGCCATAGGGGAGGCTGAGCAGTACAGTCAGTCTTTGTTCACAATGGCTCTGTTTCCACACAAGGGGAGAAGGGAAGAGTTCTTGATGGACAGCGGGCACCTCTGCGCTAGGCTCTGCCCAGACAGTGCATGCAGTGAGACATTGTGTTCCTCATTCTGCCGCAGCTTTGTCCTCAATTGAAAGCTCCCAATGACAATTACAGACCGGTGTATGTGAGCTTGCATTACTCCCATGTAACGCTGAGAGGGCCTCTCAGGGAACAGACGTGCAAGCTGTGTTTATGGAGTATGGGAATGAGGACACTACCAACATTTCTTGTAGAGGGAAAAATAAACATGTCGAATCTCTCAAATTTAAAAAGCTTTTTTCACTGAAGTAATCATCAGGAAAGTTTTCAGGTAATTAAAAAAGAAGTCAGGTATTTGTTCACTAATAAGTAATTTTAGTACTTTTGCTTCTCTCTGTCCACTCGCATAAATCTGAATTTATGCTTTCTGAGGAGTTGCTTCAACATTGTATGTTTCTTCTGGCTCCTGCTTTAACATAATGATGGGGATGAAAATAGTAACAGTTATTACTATTATTATCACTTTTCAAGAGATTTATACAAAGGTATCTTACTTCCCCAAAGTAGTCCTTTTTCTGGTGGTGGCCATGTTTTTATTTTCTTTATCTTTACTATAGCTTCTCATTTTCTTTCCCCTAGTCTGTTGTTTAAGAGGTACTTGTGGTTTTGGATATCATTTTATTAATCTAAAACCTGCACTTATAATCTCATGTTATACATCTTCCAGGTAGTACGTAGGACATAGGACACTGAGAATATGTTCTTAGGTCTAATATGCATGATAGTTTGTGTGCCTTCACAGGTTATTAGTGTATTCTTCAGAAATATTCTGTCTAATTTTCATTTAGTCATATGCTATTATTCTGTCATTTTCTTTACATTGTTTTCCACTTACACATAATCCTGGCCAGTGGTTAGTACTGTTTGACCAAATTATACTCAAGCTAAAATAAATAGCAGAGAAAGGGAGAACTAAAATATCTTGGCCAGGAATGAGGCCCACACTTTAGAAATCTTTGCGGTATCAGTGGTGCCCAAGAATACAGTACAAAACCACTGTCTCGGGAAGTAGCTTAGATATGTTCAGTGCAAAGGAAAAAAGATAAACAAAACATTGGAACTTCAAGAAGGCATAACAAGTGGACATTTTTCCTGAGTCATAGATCTCATTTGTAAATATCTGCTGGTAAAAGCCCTTCCTATTTCTTCAGTTAGTGATATCACAGTTAAGATGGTCACGTCCTTTCTCTTGGAGTCCGCTGCCATAAGCTGACTGTCTGCCAAACTCATCCCCACCCTCAGAGAACATAGGGAGTTTTCTGATGAAAACATGTGCTCTGACCTGCTTCCCCTCCTAGATCTGACAGTGTGCCCTCTCATATCAGTATCATACTTGTATCATACTTGGTACTCAGTCTGGTAAGCAGGAGACTGGAAAAACTGGAGAAAATATTGTTCATTCAAAAAGTCGAGGAAGATAAGTTTTTTTTTAATTCATTAAGTTTATTGGTACACCTTAGGCATGCATACAGTATGATGACACTCATCGTTGGGAATTTGTATCTTTACATGATATATCTTAATCATTTTTCCCCATTTCCTTGCTCTCCCTTCACTCCCTCCACCCCTTCCTATTTACAAAGACTTTGTTTCTGTTTTTCCCTTTTCTCATATTTTTTCCTTTCTGTTCTTTCCTTTTCCCCACGCTCCACTTCCCCTTCGCCTTTGGACCTTTCCTTCCTATTTCACATTATCTATTATACAGTGTGTGTGTGTGTGTGTGTGTGTGTGTGTGTGTGTGTGTGTCACCGGGAATCAAACCCAGGCCCTTGTGCTCACAAGGCAGGTAACAGAATGAATGAGCCAAATACCCCGATCCTAGTTTATTCTTTCAGTCTCTCATACCAAAGAAACTATTTGGTATTTACATGTGTAAACCCTATTTATTTCACTTAAGAGTACCGCCTCAAGGTCCATCCATTTAGCTATAAATGTCTCTATTTTCTCATTCTTTTTTTCTCACTCTTTTTTTCTCATTCTCTTTCTGGCTGAGTAGTGCTCCATTTTTATTAAAAAACAGTGTCATAAAAGACCTCAAAGCAAGAAAAAGAATGTAGAGATGAAACTAAACCATAGGGAATATGTTAAGGAAAGGGAGACAAGAAAAAGACAAGACAAGGAAAAAGACTCCACTAGAGAAAAGAGTTTAGTAAAATTTTTCTAGGTCTGCTTTGTAATTCCTTTGGTCACAGAATGTGTGCAGGGTTGTTTTAATGAGTAGATATACGTAAAGTAAGTGACTGAGAAAGGATTACTACTAGATTTTAGTAATTCTGTAATCTGCTGAGAAAATAAGAATGGAGTGATATTCACATGAATTTCACATTAAATGACATTTCCAGGGGAACAGATTGACTAGCCCTTATCTGAAATGCATGGGGTTGGAAGTGTGGTAGATTTTTTATTTGTTTTATGTTGTAATATTTACATAAACACAATGAGATATTTTGGGGATGGGACTCATGTCTGAACCCAAAATTCATTTATGTTTCATGTACATCTCACACATAGAGACTGAAAGTCATTTTATGCAATACTTTTAACCTTCCTTGTGTCTCAACTGAACCTCCCATAGAAGATGAGGTGTAAAATTTTCTGCTTGGGGCTTTACGTTAGTGTTCAAAAGTTTTGGATTTGGGATCTTTTCATATTTTCAGATTATACATTTTTAGGTTACAGATGCTTAACCTCTAATAAGATTACTAATGATATTTTTGTTTTAGATACTTGAAAATTGTTAGATTTTGTCTAACATTTAAATTATAGTAACTACCATAGCTGTAAATCATCACATGCATTTAAAGCTGCATGGTGCTGTATGCCTACAATACTAGCTATGTGGGAGGCTGAGGCAGGAAGATCAAGAGTTGCTTTGCCTGGGGAACTAAATGACTTAATGAGCCCCTATCTCAAAATAAAAGGTTTTTGGAGGGTTGTTTGTTTGTTTGTTTGTTTTTAAAGGCAAGGGATATAGCTAAGTGCCATGACCCTGGATTCAATCCTCAGGACTAAAGGACAAAAAAAAAGCTGTTTTCCAACTAAGATAAATTTTTGCACTATAAATTAAGACCACTGTTGTTTCTTTTTCATCATTTATTTAAGTCTGTTTGCTCGTGTTTTCTCATTGCACAGAAGGAACTCATATGTGTTGTTTCCACAGGGAACGCGATGCAAACAAAATCAATTACATGTATGCTCAGTATGTCAAAAATACTATGGAACCACTTAATATCCCAGATGTCAGCAAGGACAAAAGGTTTCCCTGGACAGTAAGTAACCCAATTTTAGCCTTGGAGCTGAAAGGCTGTTTTCCCACCAGACCTGTGTTTAGTGCTGCTCTGCTCTAAGGATCACTCTAGAAATGCTGATTAGGGGCAATCTGTGCTTTCCTGATCTAATGAAGGGGAATAGAATAGCTCATAACACACTACTGCAAGCCACATTTGAGTATTTTTCTCTGTACTTCTTCCAGTTTTTAAATGTGTATTAATCAACCATTATATACCAGTTGTGAAATAATTTAACTATTACCTACTTGATGCCATTGGCAGTTCTTAAATAGTATTGGTGGAGTTTTTAATTTTATCTACAAAACTTAGGTTTCATTTGTTTTGAACTTATGTATCTACCATAGTGACTGTCTCTGTGAGAAAATGGTTAGCTGTTTTCCTCACAGTGAAGCAACAAAGATGTCTTCTTCAGATCCTGAAAACATTGAATTATAGTATTTTCTTTCATCTTATTTCAGAAAATCATTGCTCTTTGAAGTAGTTGGCTTGATTTTGCTACTTGCTTATCAGGGCACCTTTTTCCAACTTTACCAGTGTGGGCAATAGACACAGTGGTATTACCAAAAAAAATGGGCTTGTTGTAAATAGTTTCCTAGGTGGCTTGATGCTTTGGGATTCTGCCATTTTTGTTAAGTAGAAGTATCTACTTCACTGTTATAGTAGATACTGAATAAGTATTTTCACGATATTACTATGAGCTGCTTGAGAAGTTTAAAATAAAAAGATATCTGGAATATTATTTTTAATAAAGTAGGCTGATTGCTTTCTAATGTGTTTATGTGAACTAACTTAGGATTTGGTTATTTTCTGTACTCTTATTTTATTTTATTTTTTTATTTTTTTTCTGTACTCTTATTTTAAATCCAGCTAATAAGGAGTGATTGTATTAGTTTAAATGTGCCATATAGTTAATATGGCATCTAGACAAATCAATTGCTGTCATTTTAGCTGTTTTGTTTTGTGTTTGTTTTTGTTTAGAATGAAAACACAGGAAATGTAAGCCAGCAGTGCATTAGAAGTTTGCTTTGTACACCTATAAAAAATGGAAAGAAGAATAAAGTCATAGGTAAAGCCTTTCTGTTAACCTATACTCTGTGCTTACTTAAAAATAATATATCCGCAATACTTATTTTTTTCAAGTGTAAATTTAAAGAATAACTTGTATGAGTAAAAATAAAATGATAAAAGAATTTTGACATAATTTTGTGTTGATAAAGGCCAGCTGACATTTGTTAGAACATTATTTTTGCATTTGCACTGTGTGTTTATATAACTATTATAATTCAATTTCACAAGAATTTTGTAAAAGTGATAGGTTGAAATTGAGTAGATGAAGTGATACCAAGTTGATAATGTGCTTTAGAGTCTTCCTGGTTTTTTATTTTTTTAAATACATGGTTTAGACTGTAGGTCATATTCATTATTCATTCAGTAAATATTGACTACACTGCTTTAGGCACTTGGGATAAATCCATGAGCAAAGCAGAAATCGCTGCCCTCAAGATCTTACATGCTTATATGCAGGTTAGAGCAAAACATTTACTTCAGAAATGGTGGAATAATACAGTCTTAAAAAATGGAATGTATCTTAGTCACTTTTCTCTCATTGCTGAGACAAAATACCTGACACCCAAAATGAAAGGGGAAAGGGTTTCTTTGGCTTACTGTTTGTAGGGGGTTTGGTCCATAATTGGCTGGCTCCAAGGCAGGGTGACAGAGGGTCAATGGATCAGGACAATAGAAGACAGGAAATGTAGAAAGGGACCTTAACAGCCTCTTTCTGCCCCTTTTATCCTATGCAGGTTACTTAGGGTGGGTAGCACTCACGTCCTCAATCCTAGTACCCTTGAGTTTAGGATTGTATTAGGCATGAGCCTTTGGGGGCATATAAAGACACGTACCAGAATGTTTCCCATTATTGATACATTTGTAAGGCAGGAAATATGTAATTGTGAAATAAATCGAACCCGTTTATATTCTCCCAAGAACTTGAAAGTAAAGGAAAGATAAGTGCCTTCTAAAGATTACATTTTTTCTGGGCGCATGGTACACACCTACTGGTAGTTCCAGCACTCTGGAGATTGAGGCAGTAGGATTACCTCAAGTTCAAGGCCATCCTGGGATACATAGTAAGTTCAAGCCTGGCCTGAACTACATAGCAAGACTCTGCTTCAAAAAAAAAAAAATCCCTAAAGATTAAACTTTGAAAGTGAAACCTTAGGGCTGGGGATTTAGCTCAGTGTTCCACCACCTGCCTCGAAAGCATGAGGTCCTGAGATCGATCCCTGCACCAATAAAAAAATAAATAAATAATTGAAACTCTCACAGAGAAACACTTAGATATATAAAATTACTTTAAAAGGTCTGAATAATTTTTAGGTGAGAAGATGTGACTGATTTTTACTAAAGAAGAGAATCAGAGAAAAGAACAAGTGGTATCATTCATGAAACTTTTTAAAACCTACAGCCATTGAAAGTGCTCATCCAGGTTCTGTCGGGGAGAGGAAACCTTTTTGCTTAATGTGGAGATAGATGTAGAGAGTTTTATCAGTGTGCACTGTGAATTCGGACCACACTGCAAGCCATTTTTTGGGCACATATCAAAGCAGCGGGTTGTAGCCAATAATTTTTCAATGATGCCAATCCCTGTGTTGATATACATTCTTATTGTGAGATGGATACATTGGCTTAATGCCATTAAACATTGCATGAATCCACCATCCCTTGTTCTTCTTTCAGGCATACCAGCTTTACTTCCCTTGTTCTGATTGTTTTTCTTTCCAATGTAGGGTAGCTCATGGGAAGACAATGCATTATTCATACACTTCAAGTGTATTGTTGCTTAGAAGTAGTTTCTTATAGTGAACTAAATTTAAGGCCTTGAGCTGCAGGTGCACATGCTCTTGTTCTAGGGATAACAACTCTTGTTGTACATTAATACTGTTCTGGTTTTATAAGTCAGCATTGTCAACTTAGTTACTGTCAGTCCCCAGAGAGATAGATCTGTTTTCAGCCTACCAATCTCGTTTCTTAGCCTACGAGGCTGAGGGTCAGATACCATGCGTGGTTATTTGCATATCGTAACCCTGTTTGATGCTTGCAGGCCAACTCTTCTAGACTGTGTGGTCCACCGTACCTTTCTATAGTGCCCAGAGGAAAAACAGAAGCTCTCTTCTAAATATTATCACCAATCAGCTCTCTAAAATAACCAATAAAAGAAAAAGCTCTGGTATGATACCAGAGGAAAATCTTATTGTTTGTTATAAAATCTTATTTCCTGGGGGGGAATCAAGGCAAAACACATTATGCTATTTTTTAATACTTTTTCATATAAATGTAAATATTTATGCAAATTGACTAAATAAAAATGTGCAGTTGAACTACAGAAGACATGTGATGTTTACTAGTAAGTTGTCATAAGAAGATAGAATGGCAACTTATCACATGAAGTCATCTCTTCAACTGTCCTCAATACTGTCTCTTTGGAATAATAACAAGGAATGGGTAATCATTGGGGAAAGTTATACACAGGCTCTTTTATCATTGTATTTATGAGGTAAATATGGGCAAACTCAAGGAAGTGCAGACAGGACTGGACTGGACTGAACATAGGACTCACAGCATGGTATCTCCTTTACTCTCTCACTAGGCATATAATTGCTGCGGGCACATTACCCTTCTCTGTGCAACTAATAACCTTTCTGATCTGTTCAAAATTCACATTCCATGAGCCTGTAACTGTTTCAGACAAATGAGCAAAAAAAAAAAATTGGAATAATCGTACTCGTCTCAATGTATTATTCTGTGTTACTCTATTTGACAATGCAGTCAATTTTTTTTTTTTTTTTGTACTGGGGATTGAACTCAGAACCTTGTGCTTGCAAGGCAGGCTTGGTGCCACCGAGCCAAATCCCAGGACCAAATATTGTTTTCTGAAAGGACAAATTCTCTGCAAAAGGAAAAAAATGGCTTCCAGAATGCATTTGTGGCACCAGAAAAGTTCATGTTAGTGAAACATCAGAGGGAAATTTTCCAGTGTTCCTTGCTATTTTACAAGTATGACAAAAAAGTAAGAATTTCAACTCTGGGCTATATTTACATACCCACAGATGCAGCATGGAAAATATCAAGATTGTGGATAATTTGTTTTAACATATCACAGGCCAGATTCCATTCTTATGTAATTCTAATATAGAATCCCCATAGAGTTACATGCAGAAAGACAGACAAGCCCGTGTGGCTTTTGTAATCTTTTCCTTCCTCCTCATTTTTTATTACTGACATTTAGATGAAATTATAGACATTAGACCATCATGGAGCCTGTTGTATCCTCAGATTTATTCCCTGAGGTATTGTTTCACAGTAACAAATGTTTTCTCAGTACTCTGCCTAATACAGTGTTTCCACTACCACTTTGCTTCCAGCACTAGCAAGGAAAACTTCTCTCATTCAATATTCATTTGTTTTAGCCACTGATATCCTCTATTTAGTAGGCTAACAATGCCTTTTTCCTGTATCATGTTTACCAGAAATTTCGATGCCTATTTTCCATACCAGTTTCAGGACATATTTTGAAGAAATTAATCTCATTCTCAGCCATCCCCCCATATGTGTTTGGAACATTTCCTCTTTAAGTAGCTTATATTTCTATCTCCCTGTTAGTAAACTAAGTATAGAAAAGTAAAAATTATGCTGTGGTATAATACAGTGTTTGACAGAGAAGTATGAGAGAAAAGTATGAGAAATAAATCTATTTTTGTTACTATGTGTTCTAAACTGGTAACAATGCTAATTCTGTCTCATCTACACCATAAACATACTGTGTTTTAGATTACCACAATGAATCTTGTCAGTCTTCTATACAATCATGCACCACATATGTGGTGATATTTCAGTCAACAGAGGACTACTTCTATGATAGTGAGCCCTTAGGATTATATTGCCTAGCAACGTTGTAGCCACCTAAATTAGCTGAAATGTATTCTATGATGGAGTACCTGATAATGCACACTGGAGACATTTATCCCTGTTCTGAGTCCTGACTTGTCCTGCATTGCCCAGGCTCCTGCATCATTCTCATGCTCCAAAAGCACCATATTTTTAGTATTTCAAGCAATAAAATGTGGGGTGCATGCCTGCCTACAGGATGCTTTTCCTAAGCCTCAATAAATCTTTGAATTACTTGTCAAACCATATCATCTTATTTTGCTCTATAAATTATTTTGGCTTTGCTTAGTAAATTACTTCAGTGTGAACCTTTAGATAAGTATTTCAAGAGGTAACCTCATCTATGTGTTACAATATAATTCCAAGGCATAAATATTCTGAGATATAAATTTGCATATGACTTCTACAGTGTTCTGTTCTTTATATAAAGTTTTTTTCACTAGAGATGTCACTTTTTATTAGCTTACAAAACATTTGCTAAGATTTTCGCAATGTAAGTATAATTAAATCATGCATTATTTTCCACAGTACACATTGTTTGTATTAATTAAAGCACCCACATTTTTTTCTCATGAAAGAACTGTACATTATACTTCTAGTAAGTGCCAGGAAATAAAACTGTAGAGAACAGTAATAATTGGAAGAAAACAAATCCAAGAAGTGATAGCTTAAAATTATAAAAGTGAAAACCTACATGGTAAAAATAAACAAAAGTTTAGAATTTCTTGAATTGGTTAAGGAAATAGGAAAACTTCATAGTAGCAATAGAAAACAAAGAAATATTTGTACACTGGGCCTGAAACATTGAGAAATTTCTGAAAAATATGCCATTTCTGAAAACATAGCTGACACAAAATGGAAAAAACAGGGATGACAGAATTTAAAGTAAAAACAATAATGTAAAGGGTCACTTTACCTTGATTGAAGTTAGAACTTCCTGAGGAAAAAGTAATTGTCATGAATTCTCCTAATAAATATTGACATGTAAAAACCAAACCTATTAAAAATTATGAGAAGAAATGGACAGAATTATAGCTATTGTCATAGTGAATCCTTTCATGTATTTCTCACAGCTTATTAAGTATAGGAAAAAAATAAGGAAATATTATCATTGACTAGTATAGAGAATTTAATGGATTTATTTGCCATTTGTCGATTGACTTCTACATATCACAATTTTAATAATACAAATTATTTTCAAATATCCATCCAAAATTTAAAACTACAGATGACATACATACATACAACACAAAATAGTTTCTGAAAAGTAAAATTGACAGCCACTTTCTTGGATCACAATACATTAAAACTGGAAATATATAATAAAAGGTGTCATTGGAAGGAAGAAACTCACTTGAGATCTGAAGAGCTTTCTCTTAAAAAAAAAAAAGGAATCAAAAGCCAAGAGTAAAATTTTATAAAATAGTTGCAATCTAATATGAGAGTACTTTAAAACGGGCCTAGTTCTCAAATTTATAAAGGATAAATTACTTGAATATATGTCAAGAAAAATTGTTAAAGAAAATAGTAATGTCAAAAAATCCTATTCACCAAAGTAACAAGAATAAATTTGGCCAGAAATGTATAGCATATGCATGAGAAAATCTGTGATTGTACCAAGTAACTTGAAAACCTTAACAAGTGAAATAACATTTCTTGAGTGACTAGAATCTATTTTCTACGACATTATCTCTCCTCAGACTAGATTTATGTCAATTTTAATGCATAGACTTATAAGAGGGTGGTAGGTCTGATTGACATTCATAACATTTACAACACTTACATCTAGAAGATGTAACAGAAATCAGTTGGTGGGTGTAGAATGGCTCTATCAGAAATTAAAATGATGTTATAAAAGTAAAATAGTCTAAAAGACTGTTATATATGCTAGAAGACATGACAAGGTTGGTGGAAGAGAACAGGAAGTCTAAATGCAGACCTAAATCTATAACTGTGTTTCTGATATAATAAACTATATTTCATTGCTTCCATTTTATGTCTCTCCAATAAAAGAGAAAATATTTCAATAAATTATGACAAATTATGGATTATAAATTATTTCAAAAATATTAAAATGTGAGATCCCAGTACAGCAAAAAATAAATACAATGTGAAGAAGTATATGTTTTGAATATTGTTTTAATTTATGATTGTACTTATTAATTGGTTTTGGCTGCGTTTTTTTTTTTTTATTTTGGGTTCTATTGTTAACAATTATGTTTTATATATGATGATATAATGATTTGGATTTTATGGCTTAATAGTAAGTGTGACATCTCATTTTATTGGTTTTAAATTTCATTATTCATCCTTTCAGATCGTTAGTGGTATAGTTGTAAAAGCTTATCTGTAAATGTACTCAAACTGAATTTTCTCAAACAAAGAACCTCATTTGTCTGTTATAAAACTTCATGACTTTTTTAATGTAGGCATTTGTTTGATAGAATTTGATTTTCTGAAGGATGTAGAGAAATCAGTGGGATTATCATGAGTGCTATATAAATGTAGTTGTTCATTCCAGTTGCAAAGGAAAATTAAATGATTTGCTTAGATGGAAGAGTTGTCTTCTGTACCCTTTTCTTTCTTGAGCTTAATTATGAGTCAGTATTTCTCTGTCTCTCGTGGTAGAGTCTAAAATATTCTAGCTGTTCTGATCAGAGCTGTAGTTGTTACAGCAAACTTTTGATATCTGTACACTTAACATTCTGTGCACACGATTTGTGAGCAGTTCCAGAGGTATAGGTTGACATCCCTTCACTTATTCATTCAGTGAATTTTGTCTGAGGCAGATTTGAACCCTGTGCAGGAGACTTAGCAAGGCCAGAAGCCTAGCAGACTGCTTGATGTCTACATCTCAGCCCCTCTTCATTGTACTTTCCTTGGTGTAATTCTTACTAATAGAAGAAAAATCTTGTTTATAAAAAAGGGCCATCATATAGACAATAACTTAGCAGAAACTGAAAGACAATTCCTCTGTGATGGAAGGACAAGGGCACAAAGCTCAGGACTGCAGAGCAGATCTGTTCCAGGGACTGGCCAGAGCTGTTCCATATTTATCATGTGGGGATTCACAAAGGTTAGAGGACGTGACCATTTTGTTTTTACCGTATATAGAGATAATGTGTTTTTAAGATAATGAATGTTGACTGCAATTTAGTGTGTGGGTTTTACTTCAGTGTCCAAATTCATTGTCTTGTTTGAAAGTTTCCGTGATAGTGAGATAGTGTTAGAGAAATAGTCCCTCCAGCACTAGTGCAGAAGGAATTGCCTGTAAACATTTTCAAGTAAACAGACAAATAAAAAAGAGCCAAAAAGGAGAGTCCAGATCATTTATAGAATTAAAAATGAAGAAAATGCACAGCATGATGATAAAGGAAATTATTATGTAACCATTTATTTTCGGGCTCTATGAAATTCATTTGTGCTCCAGGAAAAATAAGGGATGGGAAAGTAATTTGGGTCAGAGCTGTAGCCCTGCATTTTTTTCATTAATTCAAAAAAAAATTTTTTTAAGTTTCTGCTACCTGCTAGGTATTTTGCTAGCTAAGGAAGTAGAACTAAAAAAAAAAAAAAAAAATTCTAAGCCCAAGATAGTTGCTGCCCAGAAAGAGAGATGTTTATCCACCATGGTGCTCCAGGTGGAATGTTAAGGGCAGAGAGAAGGGAAGGCAGGAGGCCTCCAGCAGCTCACTGTGAAGAGGCAGGCAGCAGGGTAGTGAGCAGTCGCACAGGCCTGTGGGAAAGCAGAGGTCAAGCAAGATACATCTGAGCTCTTTGGGCAATAGTATACATGGCAGAAAGAGAGTCTTTATGGCCAGGCTGAGCTGGAGGGGTGAATTTGAAACCCACACTGAGTGGCTTTGAGCAAATGACACACCTTTCTGAGAACCTAATTTCCTCACTTGCAAAGTAGAGATAGATGTTCACATCTACCTGCCACAGGAGATATATGGGAGAAGTCCCTTATATTCAAAGGCAGATTGACAAAGACTCTAACAATATATTTTACCCAAAGGTAGACTGCATCACCAGACTCTTTCCTAATGGAGTCTCAGATTCTTACAGAACAATCAGCTCAAAACAAAGATTTACTGTAGTATTGACATAATCTTCCATTCTTACCTGACCACATGCTTGGTTTTCTAAGAGAGGTTTTCTAAGAGACTTGAAGGGTTATGACATTCTTTAAAGATTTGATCTATTTTTGTTCCTGAATAGTCCTTTTTATTTGCATTTATCTGCAGTATCAAAAGTTGTCCACAAATACTATTCTTCTGAATACCCAACTGCATATTTGAAAATCAAGACTGCCTGTATGAGTTTTCTATTGAATGCATTCTATTTTCTATGTAATTGTATTTTTTGTTGTGTTTTAATTTCTAGTTTGTCATTAAGGAAAGGCAATCTTTGTGACCCAAAATACTATATACAAGCTTACTCCATCACAGGACACTGAAAGACAGTGAGAAAAAGGATGTGCATCAAAATTGCTCTCCTGGCAAGTGTACAAAAATTCAGTTAGTTTCCAGAGGACAAATTGTCTTTGGGGACTCGACTGATCTAAAAGTCTGGAAGAAAATAGTACTCTAGGATTTTTTGTACACAGACAGTGTACCTCGAGGACTGAGTGAAACTAGTTCTAATGTAAATTAATTTAGTTTACTTTTCTAGTTTACATTTCTGGAGAGGTCCATTTGCTTATCTAGAGATGGTAGGCATTTCTAAAAGAAAGGTATAAGACAATCTTTGTACATGTTAAAGCCAGGAAGTGTTGTGAAAATTTACACTAACATTTGCTTAATTTCTTGGATTATTGCAGGGGTTTGCCAACTTGTTAATAAGATGGAGGAGAATTCTGGTAAAGTTAAGCCATTCAACCGCAATGATGAACAGTTTCTGGAAGCTTTTGTCATCTTTTGTGGCTTGGGGATCCAGAACACACAGATGTACGAAGCGGTGGAGAGAGCCATGGCCAAGCAGATGGTCACATTAGAGGTGGGCTGATGTTTAACAGGCTCCCAAGTCTGCAGCAAGACACTCAGCTTTTACTTTCTCTTCTCGCAGCTCATGCTGTGGGTTGGTTCCAGCATTATAGCCTTGATAAAATTGCTGTGATTTACATAAGAAGATCTTTATCCTCATTTAAGGAGCTAAGGAAACAAAGACATAGTATTTTAGGAGCTTGTCAAGGGTCATATGACAAACCAAAATTCCTACTGCTTGTCCGCTTAGTCCTCTGCGTTGTCTGGAGAAAGTCATCCTGGACTTTTGTAATCCATTCCCTCTGAAGTCTACTGCTTTTTGTAATCCATTCAGGCTGAATTTTTCTGTGGTCTGTCCCTTCCCTGTACTGTCTGACTCTCCTCATCTGTCCATTAGGACACCTCTAAACACACATTTTAAAAAACCAAGAAACCAGCAAACACAGAAAAGCCCCTAGGCACTCTTAGAGGATTAAAATGAGAAAAAGAAAAGAAAATCAAGGAAAAGCAGGAGTGATTTCTTTGTGTAGCTACAGACATACGGAACCCTCTTTCTGATCATTCTGATTTGGTAAGTCTTACAGAGAGGCTGTGAATATTGTCTGTTAAAATAGAACTTTACAATGTTTATTTTAAAAATCTGATATTTAAACTACAGCTACTTCCTTAGCAGAAAAAAGGATGTCTCAAATACCATCTTATTACTTAGAATCGATCATTTTTGAAAATGGAAACGAAGATTCACATGTTAAGTTAGAAGGTGGTAAGCCTGACTTCTGACATTCCAAAGGTAATGTCTACAGGTTGGGAGTTGAAAGCTGAGTACTGGAATTCCTTGTCACAACTCTTTCTAGGTGTCAGCTTTGAGTTAGGAAAGTCCCTGAGCCTCAGTGTCCTGAACTATTAATGGGTGGCTGTACAGACCGGCACTACTCTTCTAAGCTCTTGATTTGAATGAGTATAGAGGGATTCTACATCTATGACATTACATCCCAGTCACGAAGTCCTTCCGTATGAATTCGCAAATGGTTACAAGCCTCACCTGATAGCCATTTCTAAACTGCTTTCTGGAGATCAATTTTAAAATGTCAATTTAATAAAATGGGTTTTTTTTCCCCTGATTCTGTATACAAGCAAAAATAAAGTCACTATTAAAAAAATCTTTCAGAATAAACTTTAGGTCAGGTTTGGGCCAATAGTTATTTTGGGGGAACTTATAAATACTAATGTGTTTGTTATATTAACAATTTGTCAGGATAAAAGTTATAAGAGTTGTCTTTGAGAGTAAGGAGTATAACTGTGTTTTCTGAAGCAAGAGATGGAAACTCATGCTGAGATATTTACTCTGTTGAAAACAACGAAAAGATTTGACATTCTGAGGTGCTTACTTCTCTCTTCAAGAAGGTTTAGTGGAATTCCAACCTTGAAATTCTAGTCCACATTTGCTCATGCCCTCCTATGTAATATGGGCTTCTCCTTGCCTTATCCTGTAGGTCCTGTCATATCATGCTTCAGCAGCAGAGGAAGAAACAAGAGAGCTCCAGTCTTTAGCGGTAATTCTCTTATTTTTAAAATGTACTAAGCACAGCTATATTCACTTAATACATATATTTGCTTTCCCCAGGATACCTGCTTCTACTATTTGCAGTCCCCTAGATACTTAATTAAATGTGGTAAATATTTACATGGACACTCATAAAAATATTTAATCATCTCTTTTCTCGCAAGAGTACAAAGTCACCGCTAATACAAAACAACAAGTAATAACATATGTTGACTCTGTAATACATTATATTATTCTCATCTTTTTTCTCCAATAATTTTTATAATCTTTGCTTCTTCATAAGCTCAAAATTAAATTTAGTTTTCCATTCCAGGGGAGATGGAGAAAATAATGGCAACAAAGACTTTGAAGTTTGTTACCAGTAACCAAGGGGTAGTGTGAGTTTAATTTCTGACCATATGGCTCACGGCATGCTATCTGAAACTGGGTTCAAGTAAGGTCAGTTGCTGAATTGTCATCACATTGTTGCATAGCATATGATGAGAGAAAAGCACATTGGTAGGTACACAGAGTTCTTGGCCTTGGTTGGGATTGCTTCAGTTGATGTACATGAAAATTTGAGGCATAGATAGTGTTGCAATCCTTCTATTTTACATTTTCTTAAAATGGTAGAGACAAGGTCTACATAAGGAATAGAAAGTGTGAACATATTGAGATTGTAATTGTCACTGTAGCTTGCCAAGTGAGATATCTTTTGCGCCCTTACATACACTTCCTCAAGTTAGCTGCACAGTTATGCCATGAAGGCCTGCTGACTCCTGGAGAAGCCAGATGACCTGTACAGGTCACACTGCCACCCGGGATACTATATACAAGCTTACTCCATCACAGGACACTGAAAGACAGTGAGAAAAAGGAAGGACTTGGAGATATTCTCAGTTGACGGGAGAGTAGAAAAGCGAGTCATTTGCCAAGAACAGTGCAAGAATCTTCAGATGATGTTATCTGAAAGGTTACACATCTTTCGGGGTTGGCAACGTATAGAATTTGCTATATTTATCACACGTGCTCACAATAGCAGCTGAAGTCATGCTTGATTTCTCAATTGTTTACAGAGGCATTCAACTTCAAAGTATCATTCACTCAGATTTAATTGGGCCCATTTGTCTATTCCTTCTAGAAGTCAATAGTTTTCAGCTAAATGTGTGCTGGGTGTTGGAAATCATCTCTTGGAAAGATACATATTGAAGTACCACAGGCACTGAGGGGTTATTAAATTAGTGCTCAAATTCAGACAAGGTTACACTCTGTCGTGCAGGGTTTTAGATAAATAAAAACTAGCAAATAGAGTAATTTCTAAAGATAATGCTTCAGAAACCACTAGTATTTTTAACTTTGTTTTTCACTTTGAAAATGGCAATAGAGTCTTTCACAAAAATCTGAAAATTATTTTGTCTATTATGTTTGTAATTTTAGCACAGAAAAACATTCCGGAATAACCAAAAATTGCTATATTGCATATTGTTCAAAACCATCTGTTGTCCCATTTGGAAAATAAATTTCTGGCAGCTGCATTGAGAAACATAGCTTATGGGTCAAGTAATTCATTGAAATTGGTTGAAATTCAGCAACTGATTTCAATTCTAGTTTTCTGTCAACTGAATAAAAACGTTTACAGCCCCAAGAGCACAGGTGCCTGCACCATCCACCAATTACCAAGATTGCTTTGTCATGTGTCTGATCGGTTATCTCTATTTAAAACCTAACATAAATTGAAAATCTAATAAACAATAAGTAACAGTATTCTAAAAAAAAAAATCTTCCTTTTATTTTTGAAAATTCTTAAGAGAATTAAACAATGCACTGGCATGTATTCTGCCTGTATCCAGAAAAGTTCTTTAGTTACAAAAATGTAATTACTTTAGCATCCTTGTTTTTTCCCCAGCTTTACTTAAGTTTTTTAATCCCATTTTTAGTTTAACCCTTTCTTCACTTAGAAGTAGGTATAAAAGAAATAAGGACTTAAACTGAGCATTTTACCCTGTGCCTTTTAATGATCCTTAGACACAAGTTGTTGAAACAACAGAAAAAGAACCCCAGCTGACCCAAGTATGGTGATTAGAAAGTTAGGCTATCAGAATATAACAAACATGTATTATACAAACAATAGAAGTGAATGTGTGTTAATTGACTAATTGCCCGTTCTACCTTAGAAGAGCAGTAAGTAAGGACAATGTATATGAAAGTACATTGTGTCTCCGCGGACAGCGTCAGTCCTTACAGCTCTGCCACAGTGTCTTTGATCCTAGGTGATATAGCTAGAAGCAGATACTTTTATGATCCTGAAGGGCCTCTTATACCAAAGTAGCAAAGGGAAGAAGCTGCCCACTTAAGGAGAATTTTCTCTATCTCATCTTGACCATAACCTTTCAGGACCAATCTTGTTCGGGTAAATGTGCAATTGCTGCAGTTACCATTGTTAGAGGCAAAGCCAGGAACTGACCCACATCTTTGCTGCCCAAGTCAGTGTTAGCATACAGACCAGATCCCTCCGAGTGAGGAAGTTATCACAGCCCTTTCCTTTTTAACTAATCTAATAGATAGCTAAGTTATAAACTGAAAACATTTTGAGCAGATGATTAAAGCATTGACTCTTGGTAAGCAGTGCCACTGAACTATAGTAACCTGTGACATCCAGTAGGACTACAAAGCAATCCTTTGGATTTCCTGTGTGCTATCAACTGAAACTTTCATTTTTGTGGAAGTCCATTGTATTAACTGGGCTATGTCTCTTTCATATTGGCAAGACTTAAGTAGATTCTCCATTTGGCTCTTCCCACTTTCATTTGACATGCTGTTCTTACCTATGTTGTTTTAATTTCACTACTGGATGACTTCCAGGAGTCTTTTTTTCCTCCTAAGTGTGGAAGCACTATTCTTGAGCTTCCTGTACACACTACTGTGTGTGCTAAACACCACAGTTTTCCTGTCCGTTCTATATGCACCTAGGTAACCAAGATCTGTGTGTATCAATCCCAATTGTCATAAGTTGACCTTGAAGTTGTACTTATAAATGTACAATTTTCAAATTATTTTTTAAATTTTTTAAATTTATTAGTATATGTTTTTGAGTACACAGCATTTGAATCCCTTCTGTGGAACTGGTTCATGTACAGAAGACATTTTAGTTCTTTCTTCTACCATCTCTTGATACCCTTTCTTGGGGGTGGTACATGTTTGCAGTACATAATGTTTCTACTCCTTGTGTGGAGTTGATACCTGTACTTAACACATCTTAGTCCTTTTCTCATCCCCTGTCCCTCCTTTGCCTCTCCCTTACCTCCATTTCAATCCCCTAAAATTGACATTATTATATGCCTTCTGTATATGATTTTGAAAAACTCTTAAGTTCATTATCCAAGATTTTTATAGTCTGAGCTTCTTCCCTACTGAGGTTTGAAAGGATCCACTTACATATTGTAAGAAAAAAGGAAAAGATTATATGCTGATCTAGTTATTAAAGAAAGAATGAGTCTGGTCTCTGTATGCTTTAGTCAATTCTTTACTGTGTGTAGATTTGGTTGCACACAATGACATTCATACTCATGTCCCTTTTAATGTACATATATTTCTTTGTCATCTATATTTGGGTTCTCTTCCCTCTTGGTGAAAGAAAGTAGAATAGCTTGTATGGTTTTTGAGTATTCTAAAAGTAGGGCAAGAGACAGTCGCCTTCTGTGTTGTGTGCTCTGGTGGCTGTGACAGTGGATTTATTCGAAAGTGGGAACTAAGCTGCTGTCTGTGAAAGAGGCCCCAGGAGGAAGATCGTGGTCAGGGCTGACACAGAAGTTGGGCACCTGAGAGGAGATCAAAGCAGCCGCAGCACAACCTGTCAAATAGTTTGTATTAATTTTATCCCTGAAAATAATTTTCCTAAAGAAAAGAACGACTGAGAGTGAAATATCTTTTCTTCTTGACCTTTATATTGAATGAATATCAAGGAATAATGAAACAAAATGCCTTTGTGAATCACTGAAACTAATTGGAAGAATTTGACCTTTTATGAAAGAGAAAGTCCTTTTCAGACTTTTTTTTAATAAATAACTTGTGAATAGGAGCTTTTTCTTCATAGCTGGCTATGAGAGGTTGCTTCCATGCTTTTATTTTGCCTCTTGAGATCTGATACCTCAGACCCAAGGCAGGCAAAATGCCCCTGATAGAAATGTGCCATTTTTTTGTGTAGAGAATACACAAAGGTGCAAATTATGTAGCCAGGTGCCCATGTCATTATGTCCTGCTGAAGTTAGTAGGGACTTTACTATCGGCTAAATATAATCCTTTTTCATGAGGCAGCTATCAAAAATAAGAAACTCGATAATTTTGAAATGACCATTATATTTACTTTACCCGTGTAGTATTTTCCATGAATATATATTTTATGAGTTTCAAGGAGGACATCCCATCTATTATAAAAGTTTTCTCTACTGCCTAATCAAAATCTTAAAAGTTTTCTCTACTGCCTAATCAAAAAGGCACCTCCATACTTGTATGAAGGGGCTACCGTGAGGCCTTCTATTGTGTGAGTGGCCTTCATAATGAGAAATAGTTGAAGGGAAGGGCCATCCTGAGGGATTGATAAAGCTCAGGAAAGCTTCTCGTTGACTAAAATGGTAGTGAAATAGGACTTAACAGTAGCTCTGTTGCTGTCTCATTAGGGACCACTTGTGTATATACTACCAGCTTTCTTCTGTTACCATGCTTAAAACACTATGTTTTTCAATTATAAATGTGTCTTACCTTCTCCATCAGACTATCAGTTCTTCAGTCATAAGGATTAGCAATAATAGCTATCACCTACTGATTATACAACAAGAATCTGATTTATGATTTGTTGAGTAATTGCATGAATGAATCAATCAACTAATAGATTCTACAAGACCATTTTCATACCTGCAGAAAGCTTATAACCTCTGTAACCTAGCATTTATATATATATATATACATATATATATATATATATATGTATATATCAAGTTCCTGAAGTTCATT